CCGGGTTTTAATTCTCGGTAGTGGGTGCGCAGTATTCATGTGTCCCAAATATAGGATGAAACGGTCGTCCATTGCTTTTTACATTCTGTTGAAGTTTTTCTAGACTCGATGAATTACCTAATTATGATTATCGCTAAATCCTCCTAATAATTTCTATCACTTATATATATATATATATATATATAATGTGTTCTCACCATGGAGTTGACTTTTTATATTTAAAAAAAAAACATTTTGAAGATTGTAGTTGAATTTTTGAAGATTTTAGCTTATTAGCAAAGAAACGAAGGAGATTTCCACGTGCGAAAATTGCCAGAAAACAAACTGTTAGTGTAGAATCGGTGGTTATATTTAAGTATTTCCACAGCAAAAGCGTGGGATGTAGTAACGAATTTAAACTCACGTATAGGGGACACCAGATAAAAACAAAGCTGGTCAGAGCAGTTGCCATGAAAATATTTGTGGAAAAAACAGGGAGAAGTCCCGCCACGTCGCTGAAAACGAAACTGAAGTCGGGATGCCAAGATCGATTTCATTGCAGATCTTTCTTTGAATTTTGTCATGAACTTCGAGATGAGTAGCAGGAGCACAAAACCAAATATGACAACAATATTCAATGCATGGACGAATGGCAGATTTGTAAATGTGCAAGAGAGACTCTGACGAAAAAAATCTCCTGGCACGACAGAGTGAAGACAACTTTCCTTGCAGTAGATGTAGCTATTGATCAAATGTCGTTGTCCCACTTCAGATCTGTTGAAAATATAGGGCAAGAATCCCCAGTGAGTTGATTTCCATGATTCTAGCAAAAGCCATTTTGATAGCGGGCCTGAAATATTCTCGATGTCCGTTGAATGAGAGAACTTTCGTTTTAGAGACATTTAAATCTTCTAGTCATTTTCTGTCCCATCAGCCTAAATGTCTACTTGGAAATTGATGACATCAGAAAGGTCATTACTAAAGATCAAAAGCAGCTTTGGATCCAGGATAGAGCTTTGTGGGACACCTGCATTCGTGTGAATGGATCAGAAATTGCGTTCGTTCAAAATGACCTTCATTTCATTATTTCATATGAATGATTGGATTAAATCAAGCAGTCCTTCAGCAATACCGTAGCTCTGGAACTTACCTAGAAGACCAGCGTACCAAACCGTGTTAAACGCCTTCGAGATATCAAGAACGACAGCTCGGGTTTCGCCTTTATTATCAAGAGCTTGATATATGTAGTTAGTGATGGCCATTAGAATATCAGCGGTAGATTTGGTAAAACGGAAGCCATATGATTTGTCTGCGAGTAGGTCGTGAGAGGTAAGGTGCTTAACCAATTCAGTATTGATTAATTCCTCGAATACTTTGCCATAAATGCGATAAGAGATTAACAGGGCGATAGCGTTCAGAATTGTATCCAGTGTTCTTAAAGCAGGAACTACAGAGGAGGTCTTCCAACAGGAAGCAGCGAGGCAATAATTGTAGAGTTTGGAGAGGGCTCTAACCAGTTCGGGGGCGCATTTCTTTAAGACAATATTTGAGACACCACTTTCGCTTGTCTGCTGGGAGCATAATTTTGAAATGTTTTCTGAGATCATTGTCGGAGTTATGCGCATATCACTTAGTAGGCTATCTGCCCATGTTGGGGAAATTAGGTGTGAACACTCCAAAGGAATCGAATGTTGTGTTGAAAGAGAATTTCCGAGCAAATTTCATCTCATTTATAAAAGTAATTAAAAGATTTCCTAATTAAATAGTGTCATAGTTTTATTTCATTTTTTTTATTTTCCGATTCGGAGCAGATTTTCGGGAAATGTGTAACTGTTTGAAAAAAAAAGTTGATGGCTTACATTCTCCATTTGAGTCCTGCATTTAACTAATAAAAACATTATGCGGTGATGATTTAATTTCTGGAAATTTCATAAAATTTCGTAAATGGGGCTTAACAGATGTAAAATAAAATATTTTTTGCGAACATTTTCTAAAACAATATGAATACATTTGTGAATAAGTTCTGAAAATTTTGATTAAAATCCGACAATTAGTTTATTTTTGAAAGAATATCCACATGAACGTGATTTCTACCTGAAAATGGCGCTAAAATACCCATAGTAATCTTTGGTCACTGTTGACGATAAAAAATAGATGTTTAACCAAAATTTAGGACGTGCTAGAAAGGATTAAAAATTAAATAAAATAATAAATACTTTGTTCTTTCCTTTTATTAATGACAAATCTTTTCACGATAAATCTTTATTCTTTCATCATGTTATGCTGTTTTTTCAGCGAACTAATGGAGGTACCTAATACATATTCATACACACAAATATATATATATATATATATATATATATATATATATATATATATATATATATATATATATATATATATGTGTGTATGTTTTAATATTAAATCGTGTGTGTTAATATGATATAGATTCAGAACAAAAGCTTGATAAAAGAGACAAAGCAGAAAAGTGATTTAGATAGGCTTCTTCGGGTCAGAACGAAAGACAATCTGTGCGTACGTGTGTGCGTTTCAATATTAAATTGTTAATATCTGTTTTTTCACTGATGCCTTCGGGTTGGATTGAAAGAATAGAATTGTGTGATTTTTGTTTTAAACTCTTATTTTAATTTGTAATGTAGATTGTCGTCATACTTATGTCTAAAGTTATTTTTAGTTCGACGTAGATCTGACACCTATCTTATTTTTCCAGTGCAATTTTGTTGCTCTGTAGAAAGATGTTTTTTTTCCTCCCAACTCTTCTGTAGTGAATTTAAGAGAAATATTTTTCTATTGCTGTGTGTGTTTCTTCAAATATGTTAATATCTTTCTCAGAATATATCAAGAGCTGATCATATTCCCTCCAGTTTTAAACAGATTATCGATCTTAAATAATGTTTCCTGCAATGGTTTCCTGAAGTATTTGAATTTTTATCCAACGTCAAAATTTGTATCACACCAACACCTGGCAAAATCACTTCTGCTCAAAGTAGTGTCCCATGTTTAAAGGCGACTAAAACCTCCTTTTACGAAATAAAAAAATGACTTTTTCAGGGTTTAACTGTGAATTCTTGTATGTGGGGAAATGTCTATACCACCAGCTGAGAATTCTGCATAGCTTAAAGCTCTTCGTTCAATAAACGTAAAAATGTTCAGTTCATCTCTTAGGCTTCCCGCTGACTCGCCGCTCTATCAATCTGTACACGTATAAAGATGCCGTCGGCATAAACATTTAAACCAAATGACTAATAATAATAATAATAATAATAATAATAATATTAATAATTCCGGAAT